AACTCAATTGAGTACTGTGGAGGGGGAGGGGGAGATCTGTAGATTTAAGTTAAAAGCAAATCTTCATTCAATAAATTAACTACATTTGGTTTTGTTCATTCGACCATAGAAGTGAAAAGTGACTAACTCATTTATTATTCTTTAAAATTGGGAATTGTTTTAAGAGTAGGACTTATATTGTAAATGTTACCGGCAAAGTATGAAATCCGGCATTATATATAATGTCTAGGCATTATATATAATGTCTAAAACTAGCCGGCAGAGTATGAAATGATTTATATTTTACACATTGGCATCGATGTTTGACCTGTGACTATGTGAGTTTTTATTTTTCTGATGATTCTGTTTGAGTTTCTTTTCTTAATTTGTTATTTGCATTGCATGTCTTTTTTTCATGGACTTCTATACAAAACCATCGGGGTACTGAAGGAGTTAATTTAAGCATTTGCTTCTCCCTCAATTAGAAATGGTTTTGTTTTTATGGCTACCGAGGCCGGTACCCCCTAAAGACGTCGGCTTCGGTGGTCATATTTTTATTTTTATTTCCTTCGTTTTCTTTATTATCACACATTGCCTAGGCATTCTATATAATGCCGGATGCTATTTAGGCAAAGTATGAAATAAACGTCCTGATGAGGTTATTATGTAAATGATGTGCATGGTACTGTGAATGACCGAAATCGGTGGTTGTAGACTTTCACCGGTGAATGTTGACAATCATATAGTTGTTTTGGTCCGAAAAATTTATTACATCNCAAAGTATGAAATAAACGTCCTGATGAGGTTATTATGTAAATGATGTGCATGGTACTGTGAATGACCGAAATCGGTGGTTGTAGACTTTCACCGGTGAATGTTGACAATCACATAGTCGTTTTGGTCCGAAATATTTATTACATCCGATTTGATATTAATTTATTCCTGGACATAATTACATTTATTCGATATTTTAATACTTACTGGCGATAGATTAGAAGAAACATCAGTGCAGAGTATACTGGACAAATGTATACCGGGCAATGATACTTGACATTAAAAAAAATATCAGTGTAGGGTATACCGGGCAAATGTATACCGGGCAGTGGCACTGAACCTTAACAAAAACATCAGTGTAGGGTATACCGGGCAGTGGCACTGAACCTTAAAAAACATCAGTGTAGGGTATACCGGGCAATGGCACTTGACCTCGAAAACCATCAGTGTAGGGTATACCGGGAAGGGACACTGAACCGTAAAAAAAACAGTGTAGGATATACCGGACAAATATATACCGGGCAATGGCACTTAACTAGACCTAGTATATATTTGGGACATTTACCAAAGATCTAGTCATACTAGATCAAGTTAATTGCCACTGCCCAGTATACATTTGCCCGGTATACCCTACGCCAGGGATGGCGAACCAATGGCACGCGTGTCATTTATGGCACCCGACACAATATTTCGGGCACGCCATCGATCACACTTGTTATTACACAAATGGTATTACACTATGAAGCATATGTAACAATTAAATTAAAGTTCACAAAAAACACACAAAAATAATAAACAATTATTAATAAAAAATTAACAATTAATGCTAAAAAAACCAATTAATAACCATAAAAAACAAGTTAACAATAAATAACTAGCAAAAAAAATTAACAGTCCTGCTTAAACTAACATCTTACAACCTAATATAAGTTATTTGTCATCTAATTTGCAACGATAGAAGTCACACTGATGTTACTTTAAATTGAATTACGCGTATAACTGAGACATTGCAAAATGTCTTTTTTTTTCAATGAAAATAAAGAGTTTTGAGTTGATAATATTTAGTATTATTATTTTCCCAATAATCACGAAGTCAAAATTATTTGACGGCACGTCTATGACCTCATCAACCAATTTTTTTTAGAAAAAATGGCACGTTAGTGTATAAAGGTTCGCCACCCCTGCCCTACACTGATGTTTTTTAAGGTCAAAAACCATTGCTCGGTATACATTTGCCACTTGGTGGACAACACAGTTAACAATTTACAAAAAAGAACTTCAAGCAATTAAGAGACGCTTTCAAAGATCAAATGATATAGAGGTTATTAATAAATATAAAACAATTTATAAGAAAAAAAAAGCAGAGTATAAAAAACATATTATACAAGCTAAATATAAAAGTTGGCAGATTCTTTGCGAAAACACTAAGAATATTTACGGTGCCCATTATAAATCTACATTTAGAACAAATTCATATCCAACAATACTCACAAATATATACAACAACAATTCTCAACTTGACGAAGCAAACAGCATTCTCAAAAATCTTTATCCTGACGATAATATTATTCCTACACGTCCATTAATTTACAGTAATAACACACCGGATCCCCCATTCACACACAATGAGTTACAACGCCTAATTAAAACTCTTAACAGCAAAAAAGCACCCGGCATCGATGGATTACATTGTAGTTAAAATTTTATTCTCATTTTTCAGTACTTTAATACTTAAATTGTCTTGCTCTAAATTATTTTCCAGATCATTTTAAGAAAGGTCAGGTTTTACTTTTTCTAAAAAAGGGCAAAGATTCAAAACATTTAACATCTTATCACCCAATCACCCTTCTACCTTGCTTGGGTAAATTTCTGGAAAAACTTAAAGACTAAATTTTCATTTGGAAAATGTAAACGCCCTTTCAGATTTTCAATACGGTTTCAGATTCGGCAAGTCAGTCCATTTAGCTTTGGATAATTTTAAAGATAACTTAACACACCTAAAAAATAATTGCAAACACGTTGCAACTATATCTTTAGATATTAAAAGTGCTTTTGACAACATTCAATCTAGTATAATTAATTATGAGTTGTCAAAACATCATATTCCCTCTAATCTTTGCCTTTTCATAGAAAGTATAAACACAAATAGACAAGCAATTGTTTCAACAGATCAAGGTTACGTAACTAAAAACATTTCAAAAGGTTGTCCCCAGGGGTCATGTATTGGTCCTACAGCATGGAATCTTACTATCAATAGTTTGCTTAACATACATTCTGAAAATTATATGATCCAAGCTTTTGCAGACGATCTGATTATACTGACTTTTGCCAACTCAAGGAGAAATTTGGAAGAGATTACAAATAATTCCCTTAATGAAATTCACACATGGCTAATTCAAAATGCTCTAAATCTTTCTATAGAAAAAACAGTTTACATCCACTTTTATAACACAGATCGCAGTGCAATATTTAAAATCAACAATATTAAAATTAAACATTCTAATCATTTTAAATATCTAGGAGTAGTCATTGACAAAAAATTAAACTGGGGTTCTCACATTAATCTTTTAAAACAAAAATCTAAAACATTATTAAATTCGCTTCAAAAAATCAACCAAAAATCATGGGGTATCAACCAAAAAGCGAGAAAATTAATATACAATACAGTAATAATTCCCGCATTAGCTCATGGTTGCAGCCTATGGGCTACGAATATCTCTCCACGTATTTATCGCTCTTTACAATCTATTCAAAGAAAATTTCTTTTAAACATGAGTAGAGCATATTATTCTACCCCAACGGCAGCACTTCAAGTACTAACAAATATTCCTCCTCTCGCAGAACAGATTATGTCAATATCTTGTTCAACAACCGTAACTCACCTCCAAAAAGATGCCAATTTTAATAATATAACGTATAATACACTAGACTATGAGAAAAAGCTAAAAATACCACATCGCCATCCTTCTTTTCACATAATTAACAAAATAACTTTAGTAGAACAGAATAATTTTGATTTTAACAGAAAAACAAACTATTTTACAGATGGCTCGAAGACAAACACAGGCACAGCTTTCGCTTTCCTCAATATTACACATTCACAAAGCTACACATTAGACAGGGAAAATTCGGTCTTTCAAGCAGAACAGTTGGCAATCTTTGAATGTATTAAATACATTAAGAGCACTAAAAACTTCAATAATAACGATATTTATGTAATCTGGTCAGACTCAAAATCATCAATATCATCAATACTTGATTTTGACACAAATAATAGAATTTCTTTTGATATTCAACAAGAACTACAACACACATCAATTCAAATTTCCTGGATTAAAGCACACAGCGATAGAGTAGGTAACGAAAAAGCAGATGATTTAGCTAAACAATCTACGAGACAACCAAAAAATTATGTATACCCACTTCCAGTTTCATATCTTAAACGACGTATTAAAGATTCTCTTCTAACAAAATGGCAATTTCAATGGAATAATTCAGACAGAGGCAGACGTCTATTCAAAATTATTAACAATGTTACTTTTTTCAAAACAATTCCTCCAAAACAAGTCATCTGGTTCTTGACGGGTCATGGACCATTTCCAACCTTCTTTAATTACCTGCATATAACAGATACTGATCTTTGCACCTGCGGCCAACAAGGTTCGCCTGAACATTATCTCACTAGTTGTTCCTACACTGTCTCCTGGCATAGTCGTCAACCTAGCCCAACAAATTTAGAAATTTGGCAGAAAACTTTTATTACAAACAATACTTTAAACAAAAGATTAATAACAGTAATGAACTTCTTAGCGGATAATGACTATCTATTAAAATTTTAATAACTTCCCATTTCACATGTATAATTTTTTTTTGTCTTATTTCTTCTTAAATTCCACACTTTCAGTAAATTCTGTTCTATTTTTTTAAATATTATGTTATTTAGGCTGGAGTGGAGCTGGACCAGCGGCCAAGTCCTGGGCTATATGGTTAAGGGTTTTCATAACCTAGGTACATGCTCAGGGCTTGGAGGAAGAAAAAAAAAAAGAAAAGTATACCATAGAGAAAAGCTGATCTAGATCCCCACCAACCAAACAACACCTTCTATGGAGTCCTCAAAAACATAATCTAAAAGAAGTAAATATCCATTTTTTCACCCCGAAGTTAATTTAATTCAACATGTAATCCCACAAAGCATTCCAGGTGAGTCTTTTCCGGCCTCCAATAATGCAATAAAACAAAAAGCATCCTTTTAATAATTAAATAGTTTTATTATTTTTTCAAAATTTAAAAATATACACTTTCAAATAAATCATGACAATATTTTAGGTGAAAATCATATACTAATTATAACTGAGCAATCAAAACATAGAATCTTAAACAATTGTGATTGAAAAATTTACTTTTAAAATTCAATATCTTTATTTTAATAAAGAAAAATGTAATTTTAAAGAACACTAGCCAGCAAAAATGAACACTTTCTAGAAGTAAAATAAGTTATTTATTAAGTCATTCTCGATGATTATGGAAACGACTTGAAGAGATAAATTTTCAGAGTGGCTAACGTCCGAAAAAATTTCAAAAATGGTAACATTTGCTTCATAAGGTTATCGTAAGTTATCTTTTATAAGGTTTCATAGGCCTTAAAATTACGTCAATTTTAGGAATTCAATTTCCCTGTAGTAACAGATATTTAATTTAAGAGTATATTTGATCGATAATGGTTAAAACAACTCGTTTCCTTCATTTAAACTACTTGTTCCCTTGAAGATAGACATTTGATAAATTTATCATTCCTTATCAATGTTATTAATTATCGCAAAAAAACATTGACTTTCGAATATATTACCATTAATACGATAATCAGAAAGACTATAGTTATGAGATTACATTAGTCTAAATTTTAAGAAATGTTATACAGGGTTATTCATAATTCCCTCCTGGGTTTCGAAGCGTTATATTGAAAAAACGAAGACGAAGATGGCAAAAAAGAACAGATTATTCCGAAAGTATTCAAGTTTTAATTTAAGCAGTTGCTGGTAGATGGCAGTAGCATGTACCACTGAACCCAGTTGTAGTAAAGAAAAATGGCAATTACAGGGGGAGGGAAATATGAATAACCATGTACTTTTTCTGTAACATAAGTAATGAGGTTTTATTGGTCTATAATATTGTCTTTATCATTAAATTGCGCTGAAGTCTCAGGAAAATAAAAATAGCTTGAAAAGCGCTGTTTATTACTATAGAAAAAGTGATGAAAACATTTATTTTATTCCCAGAAAGTTCTTTTTTTGTTGCTAGTGAAAATGTGCATTAAAATTATTTAGCTTTCAGGAACAAAAAATTTTTTTGACTATTTTTAATAAAAAATTAAAACATTTCGTTAAAAAGACGGGAAAAAAACTGAAAATTTTACTTTTGATCTAAATAATTTATAATAATTTCTGAACAAGACATTAATTTAAAGCCACAAAAATTTTCATACAATTTTAAAACTTTTATTTACAATACATTAATTTTAATCTCCATTTTTGAAAATGGCATTCAATTGTATGAATAATTATTTTATCAATTCCTCTAACTAAATTCATTTACATTAAACAATGTTAATTAAATAACTTCCCAAAAAATAGAGTTTTAACAAATTACACATATAAAAACAAAATCACGTATACTTTATACACTAAGATATTTGTTGCAGATACAGGTCAAGTTAAAAACCAGAAAACTAGTTCTTAAGTACATAAATTTTTTTTCTTCGAAAATGGCTAGCTTTTAAAATAGCATAAGGGGTTGATACAAAATAGCGAGTCTACTTCAATATTTATTTCATCCATTCATATTGAATAAGCAGTATTATAGTCATACGCTAATCATTAATATTTTCTTAGCACTTTGTTTGCTTAGACAACATTTATAATAGTTTCATCATAAAAGTTCACTAAAGTTCTAAAATTACAAATATATCTAGGAGTTATCATTTTGATATTCTACATATCTGTACCTTCTTCACCTAAAAGAAGAAAAAGATTATTCACTTTATTTACAGTCAGTGGAATTTTTACAATGCAAAAATAATTTAATTATTGATTTTAACAATAAAATGTCTTTCAAGTAAATATAACAAAAAACTTTAAGTGTTATATATATATATATATACACAGTGAATTCGCGATAACTCGAATCTGATAGGACTGACGAAATACTTCGANATTTTATATATATATATATAGAATTTCATTGCCAACTTTTACTTTTTTGGTGAAAGACTTTTCTAAACCTTGGGAACAATCAAATTCCTCCAAAATTTAAACACATCGCCACTTAATTGCGTTGGTTATTGTTAGTATAATTTGTCTATGGAAAGATCACCCCTCGCGAATAAGTTTAAAGCAGTCTGCTGCTACGGAAACAAGAAATAGCGCATATCAAAGAAGGGAGCTTATTTCTCCCCCGATTTCTTTTCTCTCGCCTACCCGACCCAAAACCTATCTTAAATTATGACCCAACACTCCTATTTGAAGTAGTTAAACCTCGCAACCCTAGCCACCGACACTACTCCAGACGAATGGCTAGGGGAGTTCTTTACGTAAACAAACTATACGTCAGTCAGTCGACTGACTTTTGTCAGATAACACATTTGAATTATATGCCAAGAGGGTTTCCTATCAACTCCATTCTATTAAATAAAACATAATTAACACTGAAGCATAAATTTAACCACAATCAGGAAGATGTTTTCGCAAAAAAGCGTAGTTATTCACAGCTGTGTGACGTACTGTTTGTCTAAGATAAGTACTCTGCCAGACATTCGTCTGGAGCTGTGGCGGTGACTATGGTAACGAGGTATGATTATTTTAAGTAGGGGTGCGGGGTCCCTCTTTAGGACCGGTTTCGGGGAGAGAAAAGGGGACCTCTTCGTCGAAGCTACCCTCCCTAAAATGCCCTCTTCTTGTTTCCATAGCACCAGACTGCCGCAGACTTAGTGGCGGTCAGAGTACCTATCTTAGTACCATTACCATTCACTCAAGTAATATACTAATTCTTTTTTTTAAAGCAGTAAGTTTTCTGATTCAGCAATACCTAAATTTAAATATTCTACGCGTATCAGAAGTCAAATTTGTTTATGAGTGCCTGAGTTACCGAATTATCGATGATAAAAAAACGTCATGATGATATTCCTTTACCTTTTTACCGCCGCGTATAGGTATCGGTCAGCGTTTGATAAATTTACAGAGGCCAGCTGAGGAGAGTAGGGAAGAAGGTTGTTTGTTTATATATTACATCATTTTGATTTAATGATTTTAATTGTATTTAAGCATGTCTTCAAAATATAATCAATTACATGCGTGATATTGGTTTTCAGCTTTAGGTAAACCTCTCGTCCATGGAAAGTCTTACAAACACGAGAGAAATACACCACAGAAAATAAAATGGAATTAATTTAATGTTATTTGGACAGCCCGATACCATTTGATCCACGAACCTGTACCGGTCCGGAACCTCGGGTGGGAGCAGCTGCTTTTATGTATAAATTACAATATAAGATGTATTACATGTATTCTGGCGTATCACTGGGAGCTCTGAGTCATGTAAAATCACAATATTGTTTTTCAAATACGAAGTGGTAACTGGTATTTGAACAGAATAAATTTAAGTTTCTCATATTAGTAAATAATTTTGTCTCAAAACAGTAAACTGGGATGGAATAATTCCTTAGACACCTTGATGTTTTTGAAAGGTGTTGTAGTCACATCGATTCTCATAGTGGTAGTTTAACCATAAAGCAACATTGTCACCATTTACTGTTATATTTTTTGAACAAGAGGTTTTGCTTTGATTTTTTAATACAGATGCAGTCATTAACATATATGGAAGATCAAAGTGATGTTTAAAGTTGTGCTTGGCTACCAAAACTGTCTATTTAGCAAGCATTTAGAACTACTAGACCACAAAAAAATGCTCTTTCGAATGAAGCTGTTCACTTTGTCAGAAAGATCAGGAAAAAGACACTCAGAGGACTTTATTTGCTATATAAACTATTACAGAGACTTGCTCCGGACAGCAAATATATATTTTAAAGTGGTAGTTTATCAATTGTGATTCTTGGTTTAATAAATTCAATTTAGTAGATTTTTATCCACCACTATTTCTAAATAATTCATAGGATTATATAATTCACCACTTTAGAATACTTATGTCAACCTTTTAGAAAAGAAGCAAACCTTTTAGAAAGGAAGCAAAAATAGTCAAATATTTACAAGATTTACCTAGTAGTTATTTACCGTTTTTTTAAAAATTATTTTGGCGGAGCAATTGGCATCTCTGCTATTAGCGTGAAATTTTTATATGATAGCTATAAATCATAAAATAAAGTGGTTACTAAATATTTAAATTTAAGAGTGGTGACTGCTGATGTTTTATCCAGTCAGGGTGGAAAGAAAGACAAAGAAAAAAAAATCCATTTATTGCTGACCTTTGGAAGGTGTAAAAATTACCAATTACTTTTTTTTTACACTACAGCATTTTAATGATTGAGAAGTTTAAATGAAACGTCACTTTGTTCCAGCTCTTAAGGTGGATCTTTAAAATGTTAGCAAAATTGCCAAAAATTCTGAAAGCTTTAGTTTTAAATGCCTACCACTCTTTAAAATATTTTTCAGAAAGCGTAATAGTTACATGTATATTACTTAACTGCTGTCACTTGCACCAGGGAATATTTTACAAAATAATTAAAGTGATAGCAAAAGGAATTTTTTTTTAAAATTATTTTCCCTTGACAGCAGTTAGTAAAATCACCAATGGGCTATGCCAGCTGTCGGCAACTCTGCTTTAAAACCTCACTTATACACACTAAAACCAAATAAAAGAAGCTCTGAAATCGCAAATATCAGGTGAATGCTACTAGCATGTAGTATATCAGTAGCATGTGGTTCGTGTGCGACAGTTGATCGACTACTAGGTTAAGCCTTAAATGCATAATTGAATTAAGTTTGGATCGTCTTACTAAATTAGTTTAGTTTAGTTGTTTTGTTAAATACTTGCAAATCAAATTTATTAAAACAAATAGCACAACTTTTAGTACCTCAGGAATATAAATTAGGCTGAAATAGAAAAGTAAACTGCTAAGTGTATATACGCACCAAATAAGGTTTCATTTGGAGCTGAATGGATAGTTTTTGCGAAGCGTTATGTTTAACCACTTACTCAAACCTTATTTCAGCTTTACTGTGCATGAGCGAAAATTTCCCCCAAAACGCTGGTTCACTAATGGAAAAAAGTCATGAAGACGCAAGAAAGACGCTATGTAAAATCTGTCAAAGATCGTTATTGCAAACTGCCAATTTAGCTATTGTAATTCAGCAGCAATGTGTGTTTGTTGGTTGTTTGTTTGACGTTTGCCTGTTTGTTGTTGGTTTTTGCCATTTGTTAACTGTATTTTGAGTCATTATCGTCAGTAATATTTCAGTTGAATACCGTGATTTAACCTTAGTTTTTTCTATATGAAAAGTAAAATATTGATGAATCGAGTTACCTTGGCCATCTGCATTTTCCCCGGTCATTGCTTGTAGCATTCTGAAAGACCTTGACGGTATCTTTCCTCCTGTGTACATTTTAGGACCTTGCTCGGACGCTTGTTGAGAAGCCGGGACTTGTGGTTGAGGAAATTGTTTAGGGGGAGGAGGCTGATTGATGTTCAAATGAAGATGCGCCGGTGGCTTTCGTTGTTCTCTCTTTTGATGAAGTACAGATGGTACAACCGTACCTGTGGGAGCTGAAAGAAATGATTATGAGAACAAAAATCTAGCGAAACAGAGTTAAAATTTCGCAAAATAGTCAATATTTTAGGCAGGAAGTAGTTGTCTATATAACTCGAATATATATTTTTGCTATAATCAAAGAACTTAATCGAAAACCATTATTCAAAATTATATTTAGAAAACACTGCTCCTATATTTTCTAAGACTGATGCTTCAAAATTCATTCAGAACTGATCGTATGAAGGACCCTTAGGTTTCTAAATAACTGATTTATAAAATTAATTGAAGACTTTATTTGGGCTGAGATAGCTTGGTTGATATGGCGTTGGGTCACAATATTTTATGAATTTTAAAAATTAGGTTAAAAAAAAGTATAGCATGCATTTTTAAGGATTTAGTGCTTCCATCAGTGCTTAGAGCTTTTTTAAGTACTTTCAGGGCAAAGAGTTGAACAAGGAGGTACCCTCTAAAAATTTCAATAACCTTTTCTCTCTATGCTCTTTTATTAGAATCATAATAATAACCTTTCTAATGGAACTAACTTGTTTTCAAATCTCTGTTACTTATTTGATAAACGTAAAAAAGAAGAAAAAAACTGTAGGAAAAAGTTTATATTTTTAAATTAGGTATTTGGAAACATGTGAGAATTATATTTCCGATTAATTTATTAATGGTTAAGTAGAGAATACTAATCCAAGCAAAGAGATTTTTTAATTGTTTCATTACGGAAGAAAGTTTTTTTAAAAAATGAAGTCATTTTGAAATAATTATTTAAACGCACTTCCGTCTTCGTTCATTCCTGTCATCTCTTGGAGCATCTTGAAAGATCTTCCAGGGATGTATCCACCCTTGTATCGAATGTCCACTGGTCCATCTTGATTAGGATCTTGAGATTCATCTTCTTGGTAACGATTATCTGAAAAAAAAATTTTTTTTAGCTAATAACGATATTAGACACCTGTTTAAAAGCCTTTTTCAAATGGTAGCAAACTGCTCATCAAAGTTTAAATAATATTAATTATCAGAATATGTGCAATAGTTTTCTAAATTTTTCTGGTGATCAAGGCAATTAAATGATCCAGTTTTTTTTTAAATATTTCATAGTGTAGTGTATCTACCACTACGAAAATGCAATTGCAATTCCCTAATATATAGGACATGTTAACTCTCCTGTGTTTTGGGTACCTTTTCATAGAAGAAGGTTGACATTTCCAATATCTACTCTCCCACATTGACGTTATGTGAACACGCCTATTTCGATAGAACGAAGACTGAACGGTTGACATTGAACGGTTGACTTTCTACTTGTGACTGCAACATTGTCCTTCTCACGCTGTTGCTTCTCGGTCTCTATCACACACAACGTAAACACTCGACTGCTATGGGCAACACAAGAGTGACTGTAAACTTTATACAGCTCTCACAATCAGCACTCAAGAAGTACTGAGATCTCAATACAGCTCTCCCGGCATCTCACAAAACAGCAATGAATCAACTAGTGGTATCCCATTCATCGAATTCTATCACAGATAAAATTCTGGTGGGGGAGTACTCTTGTATCTACCACTGCAAAAATACAATTGCAATTCCCAAATATATAACACATATTAACTCGATTCTATGTTGGGGATAACTTTTCATAGAAGAATTTTGACATTGCCAATATCTACTTTCCCACAATGGTAAAAATATTGCTAAAATTTGAATATTTTTGGCGGTCCTTTGAGAGCTTCCCCTATCGAAAATCGGTAGAAACTTTCCGGACAACCCAATATGACGCGTTTCTTTTTCCAAAAAGATAAGCAATGCTTTCACAATTCTGTCATTATTTTATTACATTTAGGAGAGGGTTATCATCATTGGGCCATTCAAGCATTACGCACGCATATAATATAGGGGTTTGCTAATTTTTGTAAATAAGTGGGAGGAGAGAGGTAGGAGTAATGTTTACGAAAGTTTTTGAATTTTCCCTTTTCCAAATTCAAAAAAATACATAAACAACAAAAAATTGGAAAAGAATAAAATTTTAAAAAAATCAAAATTTGAGAAAATCGTTAAGTTTGAGTTAAGGTAAAGAAGGAAAAAAATTTTTTCCGAGAATTTCAGAGGGCCGTGAAATATTCCTTTCGAATAAAGAAAAACAAATATTCCTTTAGAAAATACTATTCGAAATTTTATAGAATGAATTAGTATTTAAATGTTGTTTTATGTTTGGTTACATCCTTTATTTTTCTGAGTAACCTATCATCTTTTGAGTGAAAATACATAAATAACAAAAAATTGGGGAAACAAAAAACTTTAAAAAATTTAAATTTGAGAAAATAGTTAATCCCACATTTAGATAACTGCAGCAAAAGATAAAAAAGATTTTTATGACTTTCTAAGGTAATCATTGAAGCAGGTTTATGATTTTTGCTCACAAGTCTCCAAAATTGCCAAAAACGTGTTTGTGTAACATATTATGTCTTCCATTAATAATTTTTAAAAAAAAAGAGTTAAAATAATTAAACATTCTGCCTTCAAAATAAACTCACCTGATGGTGAATATACAGCAGATTCATCACCGCCAGATGTCATCTTTTGTAATGTTTGGAAAGCTCGAGAAGGAATGGGATTATCCGGCCTTCTAAGTCCGGTAAATCGCATCTCGTCATCTTCTCGTTTGCCAGGCCCTGCAACTTGCTGGGGTGAGGCGGAATCTGAAATCAAAGAATAATTTGAAATTTATAAATCGAAATTTTCTTGCAATACTGTATTTTAATTATTTTGTTTCGATTAAAAAAAATTTTTGTTTTAATACTTTAGACGTGTTTGATTTTTCAAACAGAAAATATATTTCTAAACTTTTATTATAAACGCCGCAGTCAAGTTTATAAGAAACACATAATTCGAGTAAATTTTTAATGTTTTTAATTTTTTTTATATTATTATCGTTACTAAAATGGTTTGAGGAAATTAATGCAATACATACTGAGAAAAAGTCATTTTAGCCAGATGGGCAAGCCATGCAAAATTAGCGTGGCATTCAATGTGTTAATGTAATAGGGGTTAGCATAAATGTTGCAGCAAGCTTTTAAGGGAGTAAGGGCACATCATTAGGATAAAAACTGAATATGCCCGGAAATCTCATCGTACGCGGCTAGGTGGGCTTCCCTATTATCTGTTCAGAAGCACACAAAGTTCGTAATTGTTTTCTAAATTGTTTAGTGCGTGTTTTAATTACTGCTTTTTGAATTGTCCCTTATGGAAAATTTCAAACATCTAAAATCTTTTCTTTTTAGTTCTCTTACAATTTCAACTGTAAAAAAATTTTGCCACTACATTATTTTTAACAATTATGAGTTCCACGAGGAATTTTAAAATATAACTGATAAATAATAAAAATTGTTAACATAATAACTTTTTTTAAATTATCAGGAAGAGCAAAACGTTGGCATCCATGAAATGTGTAGATCATTTAGCCCACAAAACCTCAACTTTTAGATTGATTTAGATTTTATAATTCTCTGATAGAAACATTGTAATTTAAAATAAAAAAGCATTTCCCTACAGTGTTATGACAACACCAGTAAAAGACAGTTCAAAGATTTTTCTTTTTTAAAGATCCTTTTCCAAAATTGAGTTAACGACACCGTCTTCGGTATCGCCCGGGGAGCGACAACGTCTTCCTCCGGCACTGATTGCAGGGAAAATCCACTTTACAGGCATTCCGTGTTTAATCCCTCAGTGCATTAAACGCATGCTGGTGAATCACAACAGTTCATTCTTTGTTTCAGCTTACAGCTTACGTATACAAAATATAAAATTTTTATGACGCTACTTTTCAGACTATTATGTTTTAATTAAACAACTAAACTCCGAGTCAGTGACAAAATTTTAAAAAGTTTTTTTATACTAATTGCACTTCGATGTATCATATTTTTTAATCTAATGACATTGAAACAGTAGCTTTTTTGTGACCGACGATACTAACATATTAATTTCCTCTTTAGAAATAAAATGATTCCCAGCTACACAAGCCTTTTTGTTTTCAGACAATTTAGAATCTTGAAGTGGTACATAAGTAGATCCGCGTGGAAAAATGCAGTCTGCTAGGCTGTTCTCCGTCACTTGTTTGAAGTGTTCTTTACTTTAATATTACACAAGCATACAATTATTTTTCGAAAATAACTTATAAAAGATTTGAATTTAGCAAGATGTACATGATTTAGATAGAATATTTTGAATTAGAAATAACATACTTCTTGAGTGCAAGCTACACAAAAGAAATTTTTTTCCCATCATTCCTTCTGATGCAGAATTTGTATTTAAATTTTTTCACTGTTTGGTATTAATTTAGGTCAAAATAATTCAAAAATATTATATTTAGCATTTTAATAATTTATGGTAATTAAAATTAACATGAAACATCGTTGTTTTGTCTGCGTTAAAGGTGAAATCTTCCTAACACCGCTCACTTCCAGACGATAATTTTTCAAAATTGCCGTTTCTCAGATATAAGCCAAACAGTTATTTATCATTGAAACTTCTCTAATTTTTAAAATCAATTATTGATAAACTGTGGAATCTGAATGAAAATTTTCTTTCTTACAAATTACCTATTTTGGATTCTATATTTTTATGCAAATATACTTTAATTAATTTAACAGATTTTTCAGCAACTATTAGACTGTTGTTATGATTAAAAAATATCAAAATATATTTTTTTCTTAAAATTAGAGTGTGAGACAAAATATATAAAAGGGGCACTGGTGGCCCACCAGGGCCCAAAGGGTTAATCAGAATTTTTTCACAACCATAAAAGTTTTATTTTAAACTGTTATAAGCGAGTTCTAAAGCCAATTTTCGAAAACGTGGTAATCACATTAGTAGTATTTATCCAGGCAATAAGAAATGTAATTACCTAAAAATTTTTTAGTTTAAAAACAGCTATTTAGTTTAAAAACAGCTATTACTTAAATTTCTGTTTAAAATATGCAAAAGAAAATAATCATTCAATTTAATTCTTTAGAACCATGAACTACCATTTATTTCTACTTTTAAAAATATCTTATTATGCAATAGAAAAAACCAAGCCTTTTAATTAATGTTAAAAAAGCGCGGCATTTTCTTTATGAATATATTGGAAAATTTAATATATTGGAGTGTTTATATGCAATTCAAAAACAAAATTATGTTTTAAAATACAGCGAAAGCTAAAGCTTAAATATTTTGTTAGTTAAATTACAAATTTGTTAATTAAATTTAATTTAATTAAATTTTGATTACGGCACTTCTCAAAGGGTGGGAACTATAAAATTAACTTTATACTTATATTTATACTTATTTTATATACATTAGATATTCTGTTTATGTAAAACGGCTTTTTATTTAAAAAAAAAATTTTTTTTTTGAAGAACTTAGGGTTATTAATAATAATGAAATTATGGGACTATAATTAATCCGAATTTATAACTATAAATTTATTACTGTAGGAAAATTATAAATTAATATAAATTTATGGGAAAACTATTGGCGTTACAATTATTCAGTAATCTGAAATGTTTGCTGTTTCACATGTCAGAAAATAACTTTTTGTGAGAGGAATTGTGAGAATTGTAAAAAAATGTTTTAATTCATTTTTTCAACAATGTTTAATAAAAGCATAGGAAAACTTTTTAATTCTTTAAAAAATTATTTTAAAGATTTATTTCTATTATTTATCTTCTGATAAAATAATAACGCTGTTTAAATCCTTACATATAGACATGCATCATAACTCCAGATTACTTTTTTTTAAATCTTTCGCAAAACTAAATAAAACTTATCTAGGGCTGCCATTTATTAAATATGTTATCAAATAATCGTCCTATTTAAGTTTTGGAACCTTATAGTTTTTTTTAACAAATTAAAATTATTTAAAAAAAAAATTTTTGGTGTTAATTTGGCTTAATTGACAGAATGGCTGTCCAAAATTCACTCTTCTTTATGTAGCGAAAAAATAATTTTTGAAGATATTTGCAGAAACATTTTTCAATAATTTATATTAATTCTTGACACCAGATAAAATTATGTCATGAATGTTCTCAGAAAACTTTACTGTAAATTAAAACTTAATTATTGCCAGAGTTCAGGTCCGTATTATGCTTTCACTTTTGAGCCCATAATACGTTGTTGTCCACTAATAATAAGTGATACTCTGAGTTCAAGAAGTTCACTAAGCTACCAACCACTAGCTACATTTTATAGTTAATATATTAAATGCTTGTAAATGCTTATATAAGTAAGACTTAGACTATCTTAGACTTAGAATTGCTCTGGTCACTGAGTACCAGCTCTGGTGGGCTCTCACTGAGTCATCGGGATCTAACAAGATTCAAAGAGATAAAAGAATGACATGATACGCATTTATTCTCGCATACGGAAGGCACAACCATTAACACTGAACATAACATAATCGGACAAAAGACCGGTTATTGTATGCTGTATTATATTGTAAAGTGTTGGTGTGTTTAGTATTAATATAGAAAAACAATGACAATACATGTGCACGTCCGCTGGACCTGCCACCCCCGCGGCTGTCTGCAGTTTTTGGTGGGTTGCTCGCTGGTTACACCAGTCTCATTGATACGGATGGTAATAAAAAGTTAAGTACAATATTTACACTATTTACAACACCCCCTCCTGTATATATATATTAGTCATCCTGACAATTATAATGCCTTCCCTTTGTTACCATTAGATAATTTATTTTTTGAAATTATGGAAATTCCGTAGCTATAGGAAGATATAGATACATATATACATATACACATTCATGCACAACGAGTCAGCAAAGATTGTCTCTGATATTGTTTTTTCTTTTCTTTGTATTTTCTTGATTAAGAAAATTTAGTGTAAATAATCTATATGTGATGAGATATAATTAAAATGTTATATAAAAATATTTTAGATTTTAGCATTTAGACAGCTTATGGAAGATTTTCGTATTTCGCACTATCTTTAAATAATTTTAGCTCTTATTTTTTGGTACGGAATCACATACCATAATTTTCTGTCAACTGGGGTAGCGAACAGAAGAATTGAATTCTGAGCATAAATTTACTCCCTCTTTTTCCCTTATAATGGGGGTTGACTGTCACCCACACTTTGTAAATTTTTTAAATTATATAAATACTAGTCATTTGAACGTAACATAATCTAACATGCAGTTGCTTGCAGACATTGAAAATTTCACAAGAACAAATGAATGGGAATATTAGAATAATTATAAATGTACATACCTGTGGCATCATCACCTCCTGTCATCATCTGTAGTAGCCTGAATGACCTAGATTGTCCATAATTCCTGGGGTCTTGACTGTCAGCCGATTGTCGGCGTTGGTTTTGTACAGCGGTCGCCATCCCGCTCTGATCATCGACTAAGTTCAACCTTGTGAGAGGAAAAGGAATGGAATTAGGAGATGAAGCAAGCAAAACACTTCAACCGCGTCATTACTAGTCGAAAAGGGAGAAAGGAAAAAAAAAAGGGTCAAGAGAGAAAGTTCTGAGCGAGCATTTATAATCAACCATTTGAAAAACAGCTGGGCGACATTTATTACCACAAAATCTGTCAACATTTGATACTGATTCCAGACGTTAAAGTTATGCAACCCCAAATCCATCATCGGGTGCTTTGCTGATACATTTTGTGTTCTTTTTTCTGTCATACGAATCCAAGAAAAATAAATAAATAATCTTTATGAGAGATGGTGACTTTTAAGGATTGGCAGTGGTAGCTGAAAATCGTGAACCATCAATAATGAAACCAATAGATTTTCCTGATTGTTTATAAAATTAATAAAATTGATGAACTTTAATTTCGTCTCCTCGTCGAGGCACAATTAGAGTTTATTCTAAAATTCATAAGTCACCCATTGGCCAAAGAATGCTTTCTCTTTTTATTTAAATATATATATTTATACATTTTTTTAAATTTAAAAACAATGAGAAAGATTAAAAATTTATTTTATTAAAAAAAATTTAAGTTAACTGGTAGTTAAAGTGAAAACATTTAAATTAAATCTAATTATAAGTTTTACTTTTGATAATATACCATCGGACCAATTCTATATCAAATGAACGATATTTGCATATCTACATACCTAATCCATGGGCTCCTAACCCATAAGTAATTTATAAAAATAAAAAAAACTGGCAGAATAAATGTCTTATAAAATATGGTTTATGAAATATTTAAAAAAAATTTTTTTTAATAATTATTCCACGCAAGATGTTTGTGTCGAGGAGATCAAGACAAACATGGCGGTCGAGTGAGATCAGCATTTAGTTCTGGTTTTTTTATCGGCCAATGTCGTCATTCAATCTTATTTTGCCGATAGAAATATCCAATGGCTCAGACACTTCTCTTTATGGTCAAGTACGATATGAGGGAAAAAGTAGAAAAAAAAGCAATTAAACTTTTGCACGCGCGCATTTATTAAATTTGCTGACTAAATTAGCTGCATTGAGTATTGTTTCAAAAGGTTTGTTTATTTACATGTTTTATCATTTTTTTCTTCTAAAAGAGATCTCTCAAGATTTAATTCATTGCAATTTAAAATGATTCTATTTACTTTCTCTGTCGAACAAAATGTAAAACTAAGGTGTTTTATAAAAAACCATCTTGGATTTTATCTTATATTTTTGATTTCTTTTCGTTGAAGATTTTTTTTAAAATACTTTTTTTAAATGGCGTCAAAGGCTTCACTTAATCAAATTGAGAAAAATAACAATTGATAACTTTTATAACTTCAATGAATTTTTTCACAAAATAATAAATTGTTAAAATTATACATTTAGTAACTTTGGATAGATAATTTAATATTGTACATTTGCCGGTGAATTGATTTTTCAAAAACTTTACTTTTATTTTTGTTTATTAGCTGTTACAAAACCCGAATAAGGTGAAGTTTTCTTATAACTTGAATTACGTTCAGACAAAGATATTTTTCAAAAATTTAAAACTAGACAAAAGTGTCATGCTATTCTTGTTTATTAAAAGTTGATTACGAAATTGCATTTTTATAATTCTGTACGAAATTATCTATTGATATTCTAAAGTACGGAGGTTTTCTACAAATCTTGAACAATGAAATTGTATTTTACGTGCTTCGAAAAACAAAGCCGAGAATAGTTAATATTATTTTTCAGAATATTAATTTGTGAAAATCTAGGCCTCCACTTTAGTTTTCTTTTGGAGTTTTCACCCTACTACAGTCATTATATTTTTGTCAGACATGATGCATTCTTCCATTAGTATAAGTAACCAAAATTTAGCTAACATTCGGCACAGCTTCATGCTTTTCGCGAGACACTTTTTCCTACAATAGCGAAATGAAGCAAAAATTTTGTAAAAAGATACAAATTATTTTTAAGCATCACTAGTATTAAAAGACATCTCCTATTGTCTATCAAAATCTTTAATTTGTTTTAGTTTTTATATGCCATGGTGTTCAAAGGCATTTTAGATCAAATTTAAAAAACTTAAGAGTAATATCAACACTTAAGAAACTCTTCCTCAAAAAATGTAAAAAATGACAGCTACAAAATTTTGATGAGGGAATTTAACAAAATAAAATAACTTTTAAGAAAATTCGATATTTTTAAAATTCGATTTCTCAGAAACTATTCCACCCGATTTCTTCAGGTTTTGTATTTTGCCATATAAAAATAGTATTAACGCTGCATGCAGGGCTGCCAACTGCTTAGCTTTCTGTAAAAAAGTTTAATAAACTGATAACGAATCAAATAGTGTAGCTTGTAGTATAAGCATAATTACGCTTACTCTTTTAAAGCGTCACTACGAGATGACTGCAATAAGTTGGATTTCATATGATACTTTAAATTTTTGATATGTAGTGATGGAAAAAATTTTCAAAAGGAAAAATACTTAACTAAAAATAACTGAAATTGCGTTACTACTAGAAAATATATTTTTACATAGCTGAGCAAAGTTGGCATTTCTGCTGCATGTATATACAATACAGCATATAATACATATAAGGTACGTACATACATACATATATTTATGCATTTTGCGTATTGCACCAATGAAAATGGGGCATTGACTTTGATTTACTCGCACGTATATGTGAAATAAATTTGAATGTATTTTGTAAAAGAAAAGAAAATACGAGTATGTTTGTAAACGACAAACAAAATTTTGAAATGAAATACCTACCTATCGAATTGGTTTTGAATAGGTTGGGCTGGTTGTTGAGGCTGTAACAGTACTTGCTGCCCTGTACAGGACGGTGGAGGAGGTGCTTGTTGCTGATTAGCAATGAGCCTTCGCTGCATCTTTGGTGATCGGATCTCTGAGAGGTCCAGCCCCCCTGGAAGATACGTAAAAGGCTTTTTGTCTTTCTTCATGCTACCGGCGAGGGCGGCCGGGATTTCTGGAACCCCTCCGGGTGTTCCCGGAGTTTGGGAAGGAATGCCTGCAGCTGCTTTGGCTTCCTTTGTTGCCTAAAAAAATTATACATAGATTTAGTATTTCTTTTCACAAACTAACTGAAAGTAACTATCTACTTTCCTCAACCAATTGAGACTAAATCACCAAATTTTACAATTTCAGGTAAAATAAAAAAATTAAAGTTTGAAACTCCAAAACCATTTGAATTTGGTTTTTATCTCAATTAGAGCAGAGGTTATGGAACTATTATTAAATTTAAAAACGTACTATACATTAGCAAATATACAATTGTACTGTCTGTTTAACTTTACATCTAAAATTTGTTTTTTCGCTATTTCTCCTGTTTTCAAATATGATATCTTAAAATCTGCTTCCTCCACTCACTTATTTTAAATTTTGCATTATTATTCTCTGCATATACGTTTTGAAATAGACTACGCACTAACTTATCGAACAACTACTTAAAATTTTATAGCCAAATTAAAATATGAACTAGTATAATTTTTTAATGATTTTGCTGATTGCGAAGCGATATTAACTATACAATTTATGAAGGGAAAAAAACTTACTTTATGCTGTAAACTACTTGATTTAAAAATCAATAAAAAACTTTCTGCATTGTTTTTACATTAAAAAATTTTATTTGAGTTTCAAAAGCAATTTATTTTTTCTCATTCTTCTTTTGAGATACCTTGCATATAATGTTTATTAACAAGTAATAAACATTACATGCAAGGTATCTCAAAAACTCCAGGACGGTCAAATATTTAAGGAAATTCACATTGTCTCAAGAAAAGATTTTTTTACCAAAAGCTATCCAAACCTCAACTTTTGCGGGTTAAGGGGCAAATTCAAAATAGTAACCAAAAACACCCAATTTTAAATGTAGTTTTAAATTTTTCAGAAACAACATCCCAATCGGACCTACAGATTTTTAAATTTTAATTCATAGATGACACTGTAATTTCAAGAGAAAATGGGGTTTAATCTGTTTAAAAATGAATATTTCCTGGGAAATGCATGTTAGACCGAAAAAAAGCTAAAAATAGGCAACTCGATATTTTTAAAAGACCTGCTTAATAATACCAAACTTGATCCCGCCCAACCAACTGAAGTTAGGTTGATTAGCAGGGTGTGAGAATCAAGAATGGTGTCATTACATAAATTTTGATCTTAGTATGAAGTTTAGAATTACATTTAATATAAATACTTTCTTTTTAATTACCAGTTAATTTTTAAAAATTTCAAATACAATAATTTTTTTCAAAATTCATTTTGTGTATTTAATTAACTTTAGGAAATTCAAAAATATTTAAATTTTTTTTTTATTTAAGAAATTTAAAATAGATTCAGTTTTTATACGAAAATACTTAAAATCTATATGAAAAATAAGCAAAAATTTCGCACAAGGTAGTACGAGTTTCTTTACTTAATGCCATTAGTTTAGTTAGAATATTATCAAGGCAGCCATAAACCGGGAGAAATTTAAAGAATAATAGTGGAAGATTGCAGACAAAACACTCTTTTTAATATTTCCTATCAACGAAAATATATTTATAAATTAAGGGAAATATACATAAATGTTTAAACTGACAAATTTTATTCCTTAAATTAAAGTGACTTTAAAGATTCAAAAATTTCCAACAGCCTCTGTTAAGTTAAACTGTCGGTAAATAAAGAAGAAACTGCAGCATCCTAAAAACACTCTGAAAAAAAATAGTAAAATGGTTCGTTTTCGAACCACAATATCCGTAAAAATTGCAGCAACCTTAAATACGTGTTAAATTAAATCATGTTTCCATGTAAGATGAACTATAATTTCTTGTGTCAAATTTAAGAAAAATTCATTAGAACGATAATATATTTCTTCAACTGGGCACGACATTGCAACAAATGTTCAGAATATTATGGACCAACATGTATCGAAATTTCCCAGCAGTCTACAAAGCCTGACTAATTTCTCCTATTTATCTTATAAATATAATTAAGGTATTTATAGAGTTTAAACAAGTTTGGTCATTTGTTAATTTAAAGCATTAACAAGTTTGGTCATGCAAAACGTTAAAACCCATACTCTCTGAATTTGACGAAATTTTAGAGAAAAAGGGATCAGAATAGCGTGAAACAGTTATATCTTCGAACAAATTTGCAGTGTTGACTCATTTTGTCGAAATTCAGAATGGACATTTTGCATCTAGTAGTCAGCGGATAGGAGAGTATGTCTCTGAACATTTTCATTTATAGAAGTGAAATGTTTGTAATAATTTCGTATTGCTTTCGTTTTTTCCATTGATAGTATTTAAACAATGCGTTGTAGTAAATGCGCAGGTGAAAGTTAAATATTGTGTAATTTAACTTGCGTGTCTTTCCCTCGACCATTTTCTTAACAAAAAACTGAGTAACTGCCAAAGATCTGTCAACACGGAGAAAGTTACGATTAAATAAACTTAAATCCTCATAAACATCCGATTTTCCAAGAACTAGGTATTTCGGTCAGCAGAGTGCAGGTCTTAGCCTAGATAAACGTCTGCTTGAATTTCTGTTGATCAGTAAAAAGTTTTTGTAAAAGAGAATTCAACGAAACTTTTCAAACCGAGAGCCTCACCGTTTGAGGCTTCTAAATTTAGAATCTTGAAACTGAAAATAACATCATCGCTCATGAGGTTGTAATGACTACTGGTGTGGTGTAACCTCCTTCTATATTGGCTTGCCTCCAAAACGGATTCCGCGGCTTAAAAATGAATATGTTTCTCATAATTTTCTTCAAAGTTAAGATTCGAGCCCCTTACTACTTCAAACAGAAACCGAAATCGTTACTTGTTATTATGAAGAAAATACCAAGGGAATAGACTGCAACAAACAGGGATGAAAGTATGAAAATAAGCAAAATATATAAAGAAATAAAGATGCATGAAATACTAAAATTCTGATTATCTTACAGGTAATAAATTTGCATAAATTTTCTGAATAGGTTTAAAAAGTCAAGTTAATTAGTTTTTCGCTTTGTGAATAAGGTAATTTATAAAAAGTAAAATGAGTTAGACATTTTTGTAAATTTACTTTTTTAAAAATGTTAGGAATACATTTAAAAATTGAACATGAATTAAATTTAATTTGAAATTACATTTTAAAAATTTTTATGAAATAAAAATTACATTAGACAGAAATTTTGTGTAATTAAAAAAATACACTTATTATTTACACAAAATTTCTGTCTAAAATAAAATCAAAATGGAAGAAAAAATTTAATCACTGCTAATTTAATACAATCATATCAGACATAAATACCAAAAATTTTGTAAAAGTAGGATTTTGTACGAGCTCACGGAAATGTGTAAACAAGTGCTAATGCGCAATACATTTTAACTAGTCAGAAAAATAAACGCGATATCATTAAAAATGTAATTAGCTTTTCTTATATAACTTTAATACGCACTTTTTGAAAATGTAAAGAATATATATATTATATAATGACGTCAGGTTATAGCAATATTTTACCTTTACTGGTTACTTTTGGTTACTTTTACGATTGGTTACTTTTTTATTTGCATTCATTTTCGTTTTATATTCTAATCGCCAAAAAATTAGAGGGGCCTCCGATTGTGAACTATTACTTGTATTTCAAGGTGAAAACAACAAGTTTTCTTTTATGTAAAAAACAAATCAAAAATTCAATTTGTAAAAGTTTTTTTTCTCCAAATAATTCAGATCAAACAATGGGAGCCCTCACGTCAATTTGTATTTAATAAAAGCATAAAATTTCTTATCCAAAATGATTACCTAAATATGAAGAAATATCTACTCAATCATACTTATTTAATAATTGTTCAGTACCATTATAGTTGAGAATTGTTACAGCTGTGAAAAAAAAAGTTTCTATTCGTCCTATTCTTCAAAATAGTACCTAAATATAATCTACTGGACTTCTTATCTCAAAATCCATGCGAGTAACTTCTATAAAATACAATTTTGGAACATAGTTGAAACACCTCATTAACAACCAGACTAACCAGAGTCCTAATACACGATAAAGGGTGTCTTAAAACAGAATGTCCAGATAGAGGGTCTTCTGAAACACATGCAGGGTGCCCTGACGATTTTTATAAAAATTTATGACATCTAAATGGCTTAGGTTAAAAAATAAATTTTGCAGAAAAGTAATGTCATAATTCGTGTTCAGGAATTCCGACTTTATTCCATTTCTTTTAACAGATGTCGCGGTATATAGTGGACGCTTCAATAAAGAATAATTTAAAAATCCCAAATTTCAAAATTTTTAAATATTTTAAGTTATAAAAATCTTATTACACTATTTTTGAAATATCCATCATCAGTCAATATTGTAATCAGGACGCAACTAACACACATTCTTTGTAAAGTGACAAATGAAATGGCTGGGCATTCGTCGCTTATTGTTCTGTCAAGTTCAAGGGTTCGAAAAAATTCATGTGTACTATATCTACGGTGGCCAGTTCTGTATATTCGCTTTTCTCGTGAAGCTTCAGTAATTTAAAGCAATTAAACAGTTACCACTGTGTTCCTCTGAAAACTAAAAACTTCAGTATGAACTAGAAAGTTACGGATGACTCGACCAAAAAAAATTTTTTTTTAGCAAAACGTTGCAACATTTAAATTTTCAAGTTAGATCATCGGGAAACATTTTATTCTGGACATAGCCCAGTCTGCGTGTTTAAGAAAATGAACATAACCCACCAAAAAGCATGTTTTGGAAAATACACAGATAATTAGAACAAAGACAAAATGCCTATTTAAGAAAAGGAACATAGCTCACTGCCAACCTGCATCGTCGCCAATAAATAGCTACAGCTCTCAGAATCTGCCAAAGAAAACAAAGTCTGGAAAAGTGTAAATCGATCAAACCAACTTTATTATTAGACTTCGTAAAAAGATTTAAAAATCTAGCATTAGTATTACTGTTATAAAAACACGCCACGTGATGATCCTTTTTGCTTGAATATGTTTTTAAAACACTCCATCAAATGATAAAGCAACTGATGCGTCTTCAAATGTATATCTTCATTTCAAGACAATTTAAATGTACATCTTCATTTGAAGATTGCGTCTTCAAATTTATTGTCCTTTCAGTGTCAGTAAAGTATTTTATGTCTGTTCTATAATAATGATTGACCGTGCTTAATGGTTCAATAACAATTCTGAAATACAAAATTTCAATGGGAATGGTGTTGTAATATGAATGCAGTGCAGATACTATTAATTGATATAACTGTTAGCTTTTCAGAAAAACAAGGATAAAAAAATATTTTTAAAAGAACTGATAAATTCTAAAAACAACGGAAAAAAAACAATGAAATCTTTCTCTCTCTGAAGGTTTTTTGTGTTATATAGCTATAAGATAAGTATTATGTAGCTGTAATAATTGCAGAGAAATAATTTTCAAGTCTTGGATATACAAACGTATAGATGGTTTTATTCCCTAATAGTTGCATAAAACTAAATGAATGATATACCTGAATTTGTTTTTTCCATGCAGGAACTTCTTGACTAATACCAGCTGAAGATGGCATAGGTGGTGGAGGAGGTGGTGGCGGTGGTGGAGGCGGAGGAGCAGCTAATGGTGGTGGAGGTGGTACAACTTGTGCAGATTGAACAGGAGGAGTCGGCGGAGGAGGTGTCGGTAAATCGGAAGAGGAAGGCCATGCTATACCAGCATTTTCTACTGAAGGCGAAAATGGTGGAGGTGTCGGAAATGANAAATCTGGCGAGCAGCTATTTAAACGATCGAACACTTCGTTTGTTTATTTGTGGCTTGAAGTTAGGCTCGCAGAAAATGCCGTTCATGGGTTAAATTTAGTAGGAACAACACAACCTGTGACGTAGGCTATATTATACCCAATTCTGAAATATAAAATTTCCCTATGAAATTATAGGGAGAGGGAATGGTGTTGTAATATGAATGTAGTGCAGATACTATTAATTGATATAACTGTTCACTTTTCAGGAAAACAGGAATAAATAAAAAAAACATTTTAAAAAGAACTGATAAATTCTAAAACAGCGGGGGGAAAAACATTGAAATCTTTTTCCTTCTGAAGGTTTTTTGTGTTATATAGGTATAAAATAAGTATTATATAGATATAACAATTGCAAGGAAATAATTTTCAAGTCTTGGATACAAACGAATAGATGGTCTTATTCCCTAATAGTTGCATAAAATTAAAAGAATGATATACCTGAATTTGTTTTTTCCATGCAGGAACTTCTTGACTAATACCAGCTGAAGATGGCATAGGCGGTGGAGGAGGTGGTGGCGGTGGTGGAGGCGGAGGAGCAGCTAATGGTGGTGGAGGTGGTACAACTTGTGCAGATTGAACAGGAGGAGTCGGCGGAGGAGGTGTCGGTAAATCGGAAGAGGAAGGCCATGCTATACCAGCATTTTCTACTGAAGGCGAAAATGGAGGAGGTGTCGGAAATGAATCAACTTGTCCGGGGGACCAGGGCTGTGCTTGAGATCCAGATTGTTGTCTAAAAAATGGCTTTGGTGCACCAATTATTTGTGACGAATTTTGGTTAAAATTTGGTTGCGGATTATAAGAATTTTGGTTAAAGTTTGGCTGTGGACTATGGGTAGGACTTGGAGTGTAAGGCTTTGGAGATGGTTGATATTGCATTGATGACTGTCTTTGTAATCCTGGAGTTGAATTTTGGACAACGGGCTCATATCGAACAGCATTTTCAGGTATTTTGGGAGATGGTGAGTTTTGATGTGAAAAAAGTCCACCAACAGACCCTTGAGGAGCTGGTTTAAAAGTTTCTGTAGATACCAGAACAGGTGGACTGTTAAACGAACTTTGTCTACTGGTTGGATAACAATCAGGATTTGATGAAGAATCTTGCCTATACATAACTGGCACTGGTTCATTAAGATAAGTTTGTTGCGAGGGTGAATACGGTGAGCTGACCTGCGGTGATGGCTGATTCCACGAACTTTGTCTGGATGGTTGCTGTTGGTAGGGTGAGGAATTTTGATTAGACCAAGAATTTGTTTGATTTGAAACAGGGCTTCGTATTTCAGCTTGATGAGGGACAGAGTTTTGTCTTACATTATAATGAGGTACTGAAGTTTGCCTAGTTGTTTGAAACGAGTTAGGACTTTGTTGAGGTATAAAACAATTACTTCCGTCGTAGCCATTGTTTTGATTCTGGTAATAAGTAGGCGCTGCAGGACTTTGCACTTGAGGAGAAAATTGACTAGAGTTACTTTGATAAGAATTTTGTCTCACTGGCGCCTTAGCTTGACTATTTGTCTGGTTTACAGTCGGAACTATGATTTCTTGAACATATCTTGGAGACGTCACTGATTCTTGGCGAGAAGGGGACTGGTTATGATGCCAAGAAGGTGAAGCATTTGAGGTCACATTTTGAGGTAAGGGATCCTTTTTTGGAGGGCCAAAGGTATGTACATAACCACCTGACGGATCAACTTTTACAGAACCTCGTATAACGTCCTGCTCATTATTATCCACATTTGGTGAAGCTTGAAAAGGTTTCCATGATGGCTGTGGAGCTCCAGGTGTAAATTTAGTTGGAGCAAATGTAGGAGTTGCTGGTGTGACTGGGGACCAATTAGAGCCCTGAGGTCTCCTGAAAACATAAATATTATTTGTTAGAATTTTAGATTACCAATTTAAACTTTCTTAGTTTGCAAACATGACGATGCTTATAGTATGACTGAAGGAAAAGTTTCTTAAAATATAACAAAATAAAAACCAGTATACATGCCTATATGGTAATGTAAATTTATTTCGAATCGTATAAAAATAAATTAAAATTATGTATTAACCAAACTTGTACAAAAGTAATTCAGAAGGTCTTTAATGTGGGTAAGGTAGGCACACAACAGGGAAGAGGAGCTTGGTATATGGGGTTGATGGGTACACACTTAAATACATAAATTCTAACTAAACAAGTTTGTTACTAATTTCAAGCCAAATAGGAGTGTTATTTATGCGACTATTATACGCTGGCTCGAAGTCAACAAACATGTTAAATGCTTGTAACCTTGGTTACTAAGCACGCGAATCATGAAATTAATAAATATTACATGTTATACATTCAATTCCCTTTTCTGCTTGTTGTCTTTATACAGAAGTAGACTTTTTGTCCTACTTCCTAATTAGAACAAATATTAAGTAATACTTTACTTTTCATTTTTAAAAACATGCACATAAATACAAATTTGGCAGTGTTCTCCCAAAAAATATAGTCCTGCTAAGCAGTATCAAGCAGTAGTCAGAGTAATAAAATAATAATAGGTAACAGAAGCTGTAGGAATAAAATGATTTGCATAGCAACTACGTCGCAATACCTTCCAACAGCCCCGTAATTTCCACAGTTTAAGGAAAATATTTTACTTAGTAGCAACAGTGGTAATTTGTTAATAAATTGGTTTCAATGATATCATGACCGCCACTGCGGTATTAATGATGTCACGTCCGCCACTGTAAATAATTTTAAAAAGATAAGCAAATGGCGAATATTTCAAATTCTGTCAAAAGTTTTATAATAATTCTATTAATGTTAAAACTTTACGCAACATTACCACAGGAAATAATCTTTTACATCGCGGCACACGTGAGAAGTATACAGAGGTGTATTGTAAAAATGTTTTTGTTATTTACTTTTACAAGAGAAGAAAGATGTAGAATAATTGGACCATTTTTATATTTCAGCAAATAAAAATAAATATTTATAATAAATACTGAGTACATACAGTGTTGAAAAAAATTGCACACTGAAATTACTTTTTCAAATAAACATGAAAAAAATATTGTGGATATCAATTACATTGTATTGTTTCAATTTCAAGATATAAATTTATAATAAAAAAAATTAAATTTCCTGAATTTCTGCAACTTATTAAAATTGAAATTCTTATTTATAATTTAAAACCACAAACGTCAAAAAGAACCTTTTACTATTCTATTGTTTACAGTTTTGCTTGCTACTGCAAGATAAGTTTAAATTTTTGAGAAATTGCTTTCCTGTAAGTATTTGCATCAAAATAATGTTTCTAAAATAGATTTGGCAAATTTATTATAGCTTTATGATTGATTTCCACTAGTATTTTTCTCATTTCAGCACTCGAAAATAAGAAACATTAAGATCTTTATAAATAGTTTACTAAGGTAAAAAGGACAAAAGTTAAGCTGAATTATTATGAATCTGTGCATTAATAATTAAAATAAACTATCAATCAAATAAATCTGACTCCTGTTATCTATTATCTAGCCTCTGGTTGTCTTATTTATATTTTATTGTTTAGGAAAGAAAGAAAAACGGAGTTATAAGCAAATCATAAGAAAAAATGACATCCTCTTTCACAGTTTTATTCCATTCTAAAACAAAATTACGGTTAAAAGATATTTTTTAGAATGATGTATCAGCAAAATATTTAATATGCAATTTAGAAACTGTGTAGTTATAAAAAGGAGTTACGAATATATTGAATTTTTAGGAAATTTTACAAAACGTTGAAGTTCTTTCATTTTTGACCTATGAACCCAAACCTTATCCTCTTTTATTCATAGGTAAATTTGTGAAAGAAATAATATTTGTGCTAACTATAATAATTTGTATAACCTGAAATAGTTTGAACAGATCTTTTGAAATTTATTAGTCAATTTAATATCCAATTACTATAGTAATTAAAGTGTATTCAGAAATGTAACTTATTTTAAATGATTTTAGATTGCAGGGGAGTCACCACAAATATTAAAAATAGAGTTTCAAAAAATGGGGATTACAAATATACAAATTCTGATCTAGTATAAAATACTTTTTTACAAGAAATTGCGGCATCAAAATAACATTACTGATATCTGCCAGTCCAAACTTCTACGTCTTCCAAAAATAATTTTCCCAAGTAGTAAAATAAATAGTGAAAACTCAATATAAAGAATAATATATTTATATTTTAACAGAGCTAAAACACACCATCAACCGGCTTTCATACAGCATATTTAAGCTATATGTAGTAGTGGCAAAAATTATTCTAAATTAACTTCTTAAATACAAGAAAGAAATAGAAAAAGAATGCAATTTGCTATCACTTTATGCATAAAAAATAAAATCTTCCCAAATATTCAAAAGAATTTGCAACTATGACTATTACTATTACATAGAACAAATATTTAAACTATTTATAATTAAGTTAAATAATTAGACTAGAATAACAACATTACCTAAAAGTGTTCAAATCAGTGGATTTCAATTTCATCGTGTATCTTCTCACTTGCCCCAAACGGAAGAATACCAGATTAACATTCTCTCTGAATACCACAAGGGGGAAAAATATTTTTTTAAAGAATTGTTAGAGTATTGCGATGACGGAAGTGACGTCATTTCAAGCGAATTTGTAACCCTGCTACGGAATGAACCATCAGATGACATAATTGTTTAGGTTTCTATCACGTAGTCAAACAGCAAGATAAGGTTCCATAAGAAGTCAATGTACTGCGAGACTGGCATTTAATAGGCTATTAGGTTGAACAAGTCTTTTATTTATTTGATTATTGGAAGTAGTAAAATAATTCCGAAAATGAACAGTAAGTAAGGAGAAAAAATTTAAAACGGGATTTCATAATTAATTGTTAGTATATGTAATGATTTTTTTTATTCCTTATTGTAATTATTTTTTTTTAAATTTAAATTATCAAATTTCGAGAAAGGAAGATCCAAACTATCAAATGTTTCAACCTAGAGAACAGAATTTCGAGTAACTGATCAATTAATTTTTGTTTTTTAAATAGAGGTTTTGTCTAAATCTATATATATAAATGAATGTGTCCTTTGTAGACTCCTAAACCATCTAACCGAAATCGATAAATTTTGGCATACAGATAGTTTGATGCACGATGAAGGTCACTGTCGACATTAGAACTGTCTCAACATTATATATTCTTTGATTCCAGTGGGGTGCGCGAAAAACTATATGGAATTTTCGGATTGGTTAAAAGCTAATCATTGTTTTAAATTTAACAATGGCCGATTCAATTTTTCACATATTTTATAGATAAGATCAGAGATAATTGCTAGCTTATAGCTGTATTTGATAAAATAAAAAATAGTTCATTCCACGTCTTTAAATATCTAATTATTTTAAAATCGTTGTGTCAGATAAATTCAATGACATTACGTAGGTAGCAAGCATGGTCTACGCCACCAAATTTATACTTATAAAGTTATCTGATACCAACATGGCTCTCATATATATTAATTTATATAAAATAAGCTATGTGTTAAAAAGCAAAGTTAACGGAAAAAAGGTCAATGGGCAGTTCGTAAAATGGTAAAGGTAATGGGAAAACCGTATGGTTGGAGGAATGCAAAAGGGGAATTGAAAAATGGGAATAGAAAAAGTAATTGGAAAACCGTAAAAAATCACTAATTACAGATGACGCTTAATTAATATGTACTACTGGTGTATGGTAATCGATGTGGTTTTGATAAGAATTCTACAACAGGTTTTTTGTCGTTTCAGAAAATATTTTTTCCTGTGGTTGCAAGGATAGTGTATTAATATTTTAAGGAATTAGAATTTTAAAGAAAACTTTTTCCACCACTACTTATAAAATTTTAACAGAAAAGTAAAGGTCAGATAGAGAAATGGCCGTGTTCCAAAATCCTTATTACGTTCAAATAAGAATTCTATTTTAGAAAAAAAGTAGACTTCAGTTGGCTGCCGCTGACTAATGTATTTTCCGAAAAACTTAAATGCTGAAGGGTTATGTAATGAATATCAAATTTACTAATATAGGCATAAAATATTATAGTTATATATTTGGTGATTATTAAAGCTGCTCCAATACAAACAGTTTTAATATCGATACCTTGGAAATAAATGTTTTTTCGTCTCCTCGAAAGGGATATTTACCGGAGAAAATTACTTGATGGTGGTAAATTTTTACTATCATGAGTTGGCAGCGAGCAATAGCATCATGCCAAGTGATTCTAAATACATTTAATCTTTATTCCAATGGTATGAATTACAAACAACGACCTTTGTTTACTTCAATAACGTAGAGCCACCGAATATTACAACATATGATATTAAATAAAAAAATGAAATTATTTTAAATATATTAAATGAAACACTTAGAGGAAGAACCAGGTAAGTGACAAAAAATGTAGTATCTGAACTATTTTATTAACAATTGATTTGAAGGAGGATCTAATTTTTATTTGCCTTATTTTATTTACCAGTGTCTAATTTGAAGCGAAAATCACGCAAACATACTAAAAACTACTGTAGATTAGTTATGTTAATATGTTATTTTCTCAGATTCATTAAATTTCCTAAAAATGTTACTTGCCTAGTTCTTCCCTCAAGCTCTTTAATTGTGACAGTATATACCTTTCAGTTTCGAGTATGATTTCGTAGTGTTTCTGAGTACTGATTTATTGACTCTTTACTTTTTTTTATTCTTCTCCAGCAAAGAACAAGTATTCACTAGTATTCAATAAAATAGAAAAATTTATGTATCAACATTAAATTTTAAGTAATTTTGGTCCCTACAGCATCAATGCAAAGATCTGTATAAAAGAACTGATTACATGGTTATGATGGTTTTAAGAGCTGGTAA